TTGTTATTCCCTTGTGCCTGGGTTTGTTAACACCACTTCCTTTCCCACCACCTCCCCTTCTCCCATGCCCCTCCCAAAACTGTCGGTCCCATTGTTTTCTCCTCCAGATTGTTCATCCAGCCTATCTTATTTAGACAGACCCTTGGAGATAGTAACGTGAATGCAGCATGCTGTCATGGAGTAGGGAACCAGTGGAGAGGTGTGAGGGGCGGGCCCCAATCTCAACTAGGTGGATACCTGCCCTTCCTCCAAAAATATTTTATTTCAGAGGAGAGCACTGAATCTGCAGCTCAGGGAGAGGGACATGTCTGCTCAGAGCATATGGGAGCAAATGAAGGGGGAGGAAGGAGTGGAGCACATCCTGGCCCACCAAACCTTGAGGACGATATTCCCACTCAGAGCAGCCAATCCACAGAGAAGACCATATGAGACATGACATCCCTCACTGATCCATAGCCCTACAGGGGACAACACTGGAGGTACAGTGTGGGAATTCCGCCCAGTCTGATCCCACCACACTGAAGCAAAACACTAAGGGCGTGCAACAGAACAGCAAGGGGAACAGAGCAACAAAGTCCCCAGGGAATACCAAAATAGACCTTGGGGCCAGGGCTTGGCACCCCATCAGACTCAACCGGAAAACACTCCTAAAGGCCAACAAACAGTCCTTGAACTAACTACAACCTTTTCTTTCTTATTGTGTTTTGTTGTCATTGGACTGTTGTTGTTCTGTTTTCTCTTGTTGCTTGGTTTTGCTCTGCCCTATTTTTGTGAAATATGTATTTCTAATTACAAATAAAAGAAATTTTTTCTGGAAGAATGGTGTAGCATAGGTAACAGTCTTCACGCTGGGTCTTCGTATGTGGGTGTATCTCTCTGCATGTGGGTGGACCCACCTGGTGACAGATAGAGGAACAGGGGCCTCGGTTCCTAAGACCATCAGAAATAGATGTTTTCTGATGGTCTTAGGCAATCCCTGTGTGAAAGGGTCGTTGGACCCTCAAAGGGGTCACGGCCCACAGATTGAGAACCGCTGCCCTAGAGGATTAAAAGGAGCTCTGCTGGTACAAAGGCTAAGTGCTCAGTTGTTAACCTAAAGGTGGGTGGTTCCACTTTCCAGTTGCTCCTCTGGAGAAAGATGGCAGACCCTGTGAGGCCTTTCCACTCTGTCCTATAGTGTCTCCTTGAGTTAGTCGTGACTCCGATGGCAAAAAAAAATGTCCAAAAGTTGGAACATTTAGCTAAAAGGAAATGGATTTACACAGAGAAGGGGAAAATGGTCTTTGGCTAGAATTGGACTCAGTCTAATTCCCTGGGAAAGCATAGATTTGCTTTGTCTTCATGGGAGGGTGTGGTAAAGCGTATGCTAGGGTAACTGCCAGGGCAGTCTTAACTCTGCCTGGTGCTGTGGTGGCCGCTGCCCTCTCCTGTCCATAGTACCCCCTCATAACCTAGTGAAATGATGGAGTAAGATCACTTGCAGTTTTTCAGCTGGATTCGGGTTTGTTTCATTTTGACAGACTGCACGTGCAATTTCCATGACACACACAAAATATATATTTCTTTGCTTAAGACTCCCAGAAAATCTTTTCTTTGGCCTAGCAGCTCACCTTAACATTCACAGGCAAACTGTTTTCTTTTGACTACTTTCCCGATATCAAACAGGATATTACATAGTGTGTTTGAAAATAGTCTGGAAAGTAGCCAGAAACAATCCCCCAAAATATATCAATCCGAGCGTAACAAATAAAACGCTACTCACCGTGAAGTTTCCTATGCCATTTATGTCTTCTCCCTCATCCCCACCGCTCCCATTTTTAGGCATTTTCGTCCTTTGCTTTTTTTGTTTTTGTTTTGTTTTTTGAGACTCAGAATTGGTTTATTGACAATGCCCCATGTTGTCCTCTGCTCTCAGAACAGCTCTCAGGATCAAAAGAACCCAAACCCAAGTCCCTGAGGTTGGCATCTTAGCATGGCTCCACTCCCTGCTGGAGGGCAGAGCAAGGACCCCCGCCTGCTCCCATTAGGCCGCATTTGGGATGGGGAGATGCCTGAGCTTCACACAGTGCCACCCTCTCCCAGCTGAGACTGCAGGGGTCACCTTTACTGGGGTGCAGAGATGGTTTGGCCCCCGCCCTATCCTGAGGCCATTCTGGAACAGTCACCCGGGGAGAACAGTAACCAGACCCAGACACACACTTTTGCTCCCCCTGCTTCAGACTGTCCCCACCACTCCCCGGGATCCAGGCCATGGCATAGGGGCTGGCAAGGAGGGAGTGGGGAGGGGAGATGGGGAGTGGGAGGGCCAGGGTACCCCCTATTCTGTTCTCCTGGTCTCCGAGGGGCTCGTCCTTTGGTTTTTAAGACTACTGTGTTATCATTCCTGAAGGCAAGGTGTGTCTTAAATCATCTTTGTAGCCCAAACTCTTTGTTACAGAACTGGCATAAAACACTTGTTCCAGTGGATAAGCAGTAAACATTGTTTTCATAAAAATGCCAAGATTTTTACCATAGACTAGTTTCCAGAAGGATTTTTTTTAAACTAAAAAAGCAGGTTATTTAGAAGTATTCCATTTAGTTTAACTGTTTCATCCCTGTGGTCTTCAGTTATTTTAATCTTATAACCATTCTATGTCATTATTATTAATATTTTATCTAATTTAAACATACACAATTTAAACTGCTTACAACCTTACTTGTTAATAATAATAATAAGCCTTACCTAAAATACTTAAACTGAGAGCATCTATGCTGGGTGGGTTCAGATCTGTGATCGTTCAGCCTCAGTGACTGCGTCTGACCTCCATGAATATTAAGAACACTGGTGCACACTGAATATACCTTCTTCCCCTAATAGTCCATTTGGGATTCATTAATTTGTCCAAACCAGTGTATCTTGGGTAGCCACTAATGCCAAGAGGGAACATACCAGACTTATTCAGTGGCCTTTTCCAATTATGCCACCACACTCATTCAGTTCTAATACGATCATTTCCAGCACTTGTTGAGAATTATTACCCAAGAGATTATAGTTACAGATAAGCTTTAGGGCAGTGTGGCTGAAAACCACTAATCTAAACCTCGTGATCTATTTTCATTATTAGCCCATGCTTTTTGTACAAATATTTTATCAGTTTTCTGAAATCAGACATTCCTTTATTTGTTCCCCAACAACCTATTATCAGTATCTGAAAAACTTGAGAGAGGTACCCTATAGTTCAAATATTTGAAAATTTAACAAACAACTCTCTCTTGTGGTTTCCATTATTACATACTCTGATGATACTCTTTCCTCACCCTCCTGTTTCTCTACCCACTAACACTTACCAATCCCCAGTTACTTTATCCTGGTTTACCTTTTTAGAGTTTATTACTCTAAATTAGCAATAGTACATTAGACGTAGATTTTACTATAGTTTTATACATGGACCAGATACACTTATTTGGTTGTCTTTAGGATGACAGTTTATCAGTGTAGTACCGAAAGTCTTAAGTAACTTTTGCCAATTGCTATCTTTTGATTGAATATCTAGTGTTCACCTTGAAATTGTACCTGAACAGAAGGAAGTGTTCACAAGCTTAGTACTTTCCTTTAAAGGACTTAGAAACACCACAAACACACACACACAGCCATACAGAACAGGCTTTTCCTGCAAAAGTTACGTGTGTTTGTGTATTTTTAAGATAACATCTTAAACTGGTGGAAAAGTAATATTTGCAAAAGAGCTGGACCAAGTACTTCATTGGACTTTTTTTGAAGCTAAGTTAAATCTAGAACATTTTTCCCCTCAAAGTGGGCAATACTGCCTCCTGGGGGAGTGTTGGGAGCAAACTAAGTGGAAGGGTGCTGCTACACTTTTTCCTGGATTATGGACTACAGTTCAAAAGTTTTTAATTGGCAGGGGGAGGCTAAGTAAATTTTTTTTCCCCGAAAAGGGGGCAGTGGACCCAATAAATGTGGGGACCTCTCGTTTAGAATGATCACATTACTCAATATTGATGCACCACCATTGAGTCTATTCTGGCTCACAGTGAACCTATGAGACAGAGTAGAACTGCTCCTTCAGGGTTTCCAAGACTGCAAATCTTGATCATGACAGCCTAACTTCCCCCACGGAGCAGTTTGAGTCAATGACTACCTTTGAGGCTAGCATCCTACTTAGTAACCCACTATGCCATTAGGTCTCCTTTATCCCCACATCAGCAGAGGGGGAAAAGGTGTTGCTCTATGCCAGGTACTTTTCTGAGTACTTTATGTGAGTTAACCTGTGCTGTAGATTATTTTGATCATGCAAATGACAAAACTGAATTACTGAGCTGCAAGATACTGTGCCCAGAGTCAGTCAGTGGTGGAGCCATTTGAAAGTCAGATGGTCTCACTCGTGGGCCCCTTTCTCGTCGGCTCATGGTTGATTTTCTCTGTTAGTTGGTTCTATAGTAGTGAGCTATCTTATCCTGTTTACAAAAAAAATCCCAATCTGTCTTTTACTAACTCTGGTTTCTCATTATTTCCTTAAAACTAGATAAAGAAGTAAGATTTGAAATCAGACACCCAAAGTGTCATCCATACTAATGGCCTGTCAATCACCGAAACTCCACTTCTACCACAAAGTGTGTTCAGAATCATAGTTTGAATTTCTGATACCTGAAAAAAATCTCTTGACGGGGGCTCAAGTGGGAAGAGAATGTTTTGAAAGTGATGGTGGCAGCATATGTGCAACAGTGCTTGACACAATGGATGAATGTATGGATTGAGACAGGAGATTTAAGAGCCCCCAATAAATGAATTTAATTTAAAAAAACCCAAAACTCTTGATTCTCAAAGTACCTTGGAGAATCTGCAGGTAGATCAGTGTAACCACCACCACCATTTTAAAAACCCCTCCATTTTAAATGTACTGCCGTGACATGTTCTTTCTGACCTCTTTGTGCTGGTGAGTGGTTGGTGATGCTGGTGAGCACCAAGAATACCTGTCTGAAACCCTCTTCTGTTTTTGCAGTGGATAGCCTGCTGAAATACACTGGCTATGGGAATGCTGCAGGACTGTTGGCGGCCAGGGGCCTCTTGACTGGAGGAAGAGGAGACAATTGGTACTCAGAGGACGAGGACACAGACACTGAAGAATACAAAAATGCAAAACCAAAGTATAGTATCAAGTTTCTATTCATCCAGCTTTATGCCTTTCAATTGGTTATTTGCTTTTTACTCCCTTTGATTTTCCAAGCGTTTCTTTTCTCTTATGGATTTGGAGGCTTTCTGCATGTGGTTTGGAGGTGCAATTTCATAGCTAGGGCCTTCAAAGAGTGGCTTTAAGTGATTGAGGAAGGATGTTGCTAGAAATATTCTGCTGCATGATATTTCAACATGCACATTTTATCCTCCCCCAAGTACTGGGAGAGCTGATGTTTTAATATTTATGGGCACATACTTGAATATTATTGCTCACTCTTTGTTTTCCTTTCCAGAGGTTGAGATTTTACAAGTTATAACCAAGATCAAGTATTTAAGTTGGTTGTTTGATATGTCAGTGTTTCTCAGAAATCGACTATATATACATTCTGATCTTCTGCTTCCATGAAAGCCCAATAAAATGGCAACGAGACAGGTTACTAGGAAAAGGGTAGGAATCTGGTTGCATGGTGAATTTTCATGAACAGAATCTTGAGGAGTTATCTGTTAACAGATATACTAATTCCTTGAATGGGCAAATGAGAGACCCTATCAAATCCTCTCTGAATATGCTTGCAAATTAAAGATGCTCTTCTATTTCATTCCAAGACAAGCCCCCGTCCCTCCCCCACCCCCCACCCCTTGCTTTTAATTCCTGTCCATCCTTTTCACCCGCCAGCCCTCATTCTAGTTAAATTTCTTAGGTTCTACTTTTTCAGGAGTGATTTAAGCTCAGTTTTTCTATTTTTTATGACTGGCCTAGCATGTTAAAGTCGAGCGCTTCCCTTTTGGCACTCTCAGAGATGCTTACACACTGTGCTTTCTCCAAGCAGTGTTCTGGAGCAAGATGGCCTTCATGCGGTGATTAGTAGGTAACCAAGACTGAAAAATCACTGCCTGTAAACTAGGTCCCTTTGAAAAATGCCCTGTGTATAGAAACATAATGGAGTTGTCAGAAGTTAAAGAAATTACTATCCTCTAATCAGACAGGGTGTAGATGACCTGCTTCTTAGGAAATCGGGACTGAGTAGATCAGTCTTGCTTTCACCACAAGGATTGTAGGATGTGCCCTAAGAGGGGAAAGATTTTTTAGGTGAAAGCTAACAACAACCTATACATTTTCACGTTTTCCACCTTTGAGATGTGAAAAATTGGCATCCTTATCCACCAAATGTCAGAATAGACTCAACAATATGCGCCTTTCCTTTAGCACATATTTGAAGCTTATTAGAGGGATCATGCTTTATCTTTCCTTAAGTATAGAATTCATCATTCTAAATTAGTCTTCCTAACCCTTGGTTTTTCCATTCCATATCAGTTTGCTATTTTATATGTTGCCCATTGGAGCCATAGAAATGTACCACTTGAGAAGTCCCTTATTTGTAAATGAAAGGAGAAGTTATGCTGCGCTTTCATTGCATCCCAGGGTGTGTGGACACTATCAACTAAGGTAGAAAATGTTGCATGAGTGTTGAAGGTTGATATCATTACATCTCAGTGTGTACTGCTGATTTGTGTGGTAGGTGACTTTCACACTGGTAATGGACACTATTAGCAAGTACCAGAACTCTTCCGAGTTAGATGAGAGGGAACTCTACAGAAACACACGGACACTGAATCTCTTCCAGTTATCTAGGGAATAGAATTGAAGTTACATCAGGAAAGTAATATTACATTTCAGAAAAGTATCTTGTTTTAATCAAGGACCCTGATGTTTGAGATTGTTTCTTTGGCTCTGTCATAGAAAGTTTCTACACTTAAATGCCTTAAATCCCTAATTGGAATTATCTTTTGCCTTGGAAATCTGACTTATACCTGTTTATAAAAATGCTGTTTAGCTGGTCAGAATAACCACCATTGCAAAATCTTTCTAAATTGTGTTTTTTAAACATTGCTCATTACAACATAAATACGAGTCTTGCAAAGATAGTTATATCTTTTTCATTCATATAGATTTGCCTCTGTTTTTCTCCTAAACCATCTCCCATTGAAGTGACAAAGCTAGATGTAGAGTGTTTATAACTTTAAAATACTTCTTCATAGGCTTCCTCTGCAAGTGATAGTGAACAAGTCTGTTACAAGCAAGACAACCATTAATAGTCTGAGAAATGATCCACAGAACTCAAAGAATTTTTCCCCTAAAAATGGTTGGGAAAACTTCCAATACTCCAAGTTCTTTGCCAGTCAAATCAAGTTTATAAAGTTATTGTCTGTAACTTGCCCCATAATCACTCTTCACCAATCCGAGCTCCCAAGATTGTTTCGTTTCTAATGATGCATTTATTGACAACCATTGCTAGTATTAGCAGAGACAGAGAAATTACCCTTCATCCATTTGGCCCTAGCCCTTTTGTCAAAGATGTAAGTGGTGTCTGAGTAATGCACCAGGGTAACCTGTAATCCTTTCGTGGAATCTGTAACCAGGAATTGTGCAGTGGCTACATTCAGGCTTCTGGAGACAGTTAATATCACAACAATCCTTTGTGTGTCAAAATAAATGTATTTAATGGACTGGAAAGGACTTTCTGCAATTAGCACGCTTGGACAAAATATATTCATTGAATTAGATTACACGCCACACAGATTTTTGATGTGTGTCTAGCCAAGTTCATTAGGAGTTGTCCAGTAAACTTAGGTGCTGTATCACAATAAATTAAATGGGAAGTTTTCTACGGAGGCCCCTTGACTATAGAGGCCACCTAATGTATGAACTGACAGAATCTCAACATGCTTTCAGCCAGCATTCGAAAGATGTATGTCTAATGACATTTGGCAGGGTTACGGGAACCTAAGGGTCCAAAGCAGTGTCTTTAAAGAGCTTCTTTGAAGAAGGGTGAGGAGAGGAGGAGATGGCCAAAGAGGGCAGAACCTAGGTAGGAAAACTCCTTACATTCGTAACTGCACACCTTAATTCGGAATCACATCCAAAAGCTTAAAATTTCTGTATTACGCACACTCAGAAGGGTTTCTTTGTTGGCCCTGTTTCTCTCAGCAGCAGTGTGGCAGCAGCTCCATGGAGAGTTTCTGCAACACAAGCAAGAGATTTACTTCCTTTGATTCGTCAGGATTTTGTTGTACCGCATTAAAGTCAAGTCCCATTATAGTTGTGTCCATACACGAGGACTATAGACATCAGGATTTCTTGGTTTTCTGTATTTCTGCAAGTAAGTGAACCAGAAACAAGAACTTGTCAATTTTCTCTTCTGTACAGTTTGGGCTTGGATAGGTGGTATAGACATGTATCATTTGACTTAACTAGCATGGCAGGAAGTGAAGTTTATTACTCTTAAATAGTCATGAAGTACCTTCCAAGCTTACATTCCTCAAAGGCCAGAGTTGGAAATAAAGTGGGTGCCATTTTGGTTGTGTTTCGTCGTTGTTGTTGGTTGCCTGAGTTGAGTCCCACTGGTAGCAGGGCAGCTCCGAGTTTGCAGTGAAACCTGGGCCAAAGGACGGTCAACACAGTGGCCTTGCAGATGCAGATCGCCAGGACTGTCTGCTGAGGTACCGATGGGGAGGTGCCAGCCTCCAACTTTGGATCTGTGGTCATTGTTGTCGCCGTTGTCACCATCAAGCACCTGACCGATCAGTGCACTAGTTCAAGAGGTTTGCCAGCCTTTGCGATATGTGCAATCATGTCACCTTTACGCTTTGAAAATGGAATTCTCTGTCTTCTTTTTAATATAATTTTGAAAAGCAAGAGGCCAAGTGTGTTAGCTGAATTACAGTGCTGAGCTTTGCTTCAGACTTCAGTTCCTATAGATTCACAGCATTGTTTTCTGTGTATTTTATATCAAGGCTATTTGGCTCTGGATCAAGCAACCCAGCATGGGAACCATCTAAAAAGCATCATAATTTAAAAGTCATTCTTATTTTCAGTTACAGGGTACAATTTGTGGTCTCTGTATGTGAATAGTATGTATATGCTTGAATGGCTGGTACATGATAAATATTTAGTAAATGTTTTATAAATAAAGAAAAAATAGTCTTTCCCATTCTGATATAGTGCAAAGACTTCAGTTAGGGTATGGTTTTATAGCTTACCTTGCTCTCTAATATGGAATCAGTGTTAGATATATACACCATAATAAGACCTATACCATAAGACATTTTCAGGACCTGGTGTCTCTTAAAAAAAATCTCATTACTGAATGTAATTTTAGAAAATTCTATAGAACAGTTGCCACAAGGTTCTTTTAACCATTGTAAGTTGCAGTGACAATTTAACTCAAAGAATGTAGTCCTAGATCATCTGAGGGTTCTGGGTTGCTTAGTTTTCAGCAAGTGGTTCATTGACGCTAATTATAATAGATAATTTGCCTTCGAGTTAATTCCAACTGATAGCAGCCCCATGTGTGTCAAAGTAGGACTGTGCTCCACAGATTTAATAGATCATCAGGCCCTCTGAGGCACCTCTAGGCAGACTCAAACCTCCCACCTGTGATCAAGTACATGAACCATTTGTACTAGCCAGGAGCTCCATTGGTAACGGTAGCTGGCAGCTAGTGAGTATTATGGGCTAATCACTGTTTTAAGAGCTTTAGTGATATTACCTAATTTAATCCTAACAGCAGTTCTTTGAGGTAGAGTTGCCCTAATTTTACAGGTGAGGACTTAACCGCAGCGATGTCAGATAACTTGTCCAGGACTCTACTCACAAGTGGTCAGTGACCTGACTTTAGAGGTTGTGTTCTAACTGCAAAGGCATGAAGCTGCCGCTCCCTCCTGTACAGATGTATAGAGCCCTAGCTGGGCTTGCTACAGTGGGGTTTGATGTTTTCACCTCATTCAGAGGGAGAGCTGAATTTATCGCCTAAATAATTTCCTAGCGCATCTGTTATTTTTCTTTGCTAATACCAAAACAGAAAATTAAGAGAAACAAAATATAATTGTGTATTCCTTTACATCCCTGCAAGCATGAACGTTCTATTCAGTTCCTTCTAATTCAGTAAATACTCTCATACTTGTATACCCA